CTCAAATTCTAACGAACTAGAAATAAAAAATTGATTTTATTCGGTTTGAAACTAACTCAAACCCAAGTCAATCTAATGCATATATACACGTGTTGCTGCACACATACATTTAAACATCATCACTAGCTATAACCCAATAATTGAGTTAGACTTCATAAATCCTCTTTTTTTTTTCTATGAAGTGCTACATGTCAAATCATTACCATTGGGGTCATTTTTAATTTGTTCCAGTTGAGAACTGTAAAAGTATTATATCTATTTGTAAATCAATTTGAACTTACATTCAACTTATCATAGGCATATCTACGTCTTACCTCAACCTCAAACACAAATTTTATATACACGTATAATGATTGTTTTTACCATTAACGTAGATGTCCTAATTAACAAAGACTATTTTCAACTTCCTTTATCTTTAATAGATATCACTCCAATCATTCTATAACATAATCATTTATTAATTTATGCATTCTATTTTTACCACACATTCATATAACATTCATATTTCCATTATACTTAAGTTATTGATCAATGACACCTTTATTGTCGAATACTTGAATCTATACAACATAACCATGTTCATTATAACTTTATATGATTTAACTTTAGTTCTCCATGGTATCCTCTTAAAAAGCATTAAGCTTCCATATTTTTACCATTCAATCTTAACTATAGATATTATATACCCTTATTTATTTATCCATTCTTATGTATGATAGATCTAATATACTTAAATCTATCACACATAACTATCACTTTATCTTATATTAATATTAAACATGATAAAATTGCATATTCTACACTCATCCTATACTTGTTAACGGTGAATGGAGCACCATAGCGCAGGGCACCGCATGCAACATTTTAAATGTGGGCACAATATTAACTAGTTGTAAATAAAAATATGTATTCATATGAAATACCATCAAATAGAAAAACAACCCATCATGATAATAAAAACAAAAAAATTGATGTTTAAATTCACAAAATCAAGACTCAATGACTAAAAATTCAAAACATCACAACTATTTTTTCAAGTCTATTATTTTGTTAGAAATTAAAAAGTCTTCTTCGGAGACATCATCATCATCATCATCATCAAGTCAAAAAATCCTCATTTCCTTCATTAACATTATAACCTAATTTATAATCCTCTACATTGCCACAAAAAATAGATATATTATCACATTCATTTTCCAATATTATATATTTCTATGCAAGATCTTTTTTTTTTTTGTAGTTTAAATTACATCTGATAAAATATTAGAAATGACCTTTTTTATTAGCTTTAGATGATAATTTGACCCTTGACGTGACACAATGGAGAAAAAAGATTCAGTTGACCCCACATAGTGGGATAAAGGATTGTTGTTGTTGTTAAATTATATATGATATTCTTTCGAATACCTATAAGCAAGCATGTATTCAAATATTCTTTAACTTTATTTAAAATAAGTGAATCAAATGGTGATAACAAATAACACGAATGTGATATCGATTAATTGAATGAAACGTAAAAGATATTTCATATATAACTTATGCCTCGTTTTTAGAAATTTAGGCACACTTATGTGTAATGGTGATAGGAAACGATGGTATGAACAAGAGTTTTTCTTGCTAAATTTGAATTTTAGCACTTACAAAAAATAAATTAGAGAAGAATTTGGAAGAAATAACCAAAAATAAACCTTTTTAATTGATAAAAGATTAAAGAAAACGAACAAGATACAATGGATCCTCAATTGGAGAGGAGGATCTGTCTCTCCCAATCTCTAGCTGGCGGCTAGAGCCCGAACAAACTCTATTAACTCTCCAAAATTCAACAAATGTCAAGGTAAGCCTAACCCTGGACAATCTCATCCATTTAAAGCATACAAATACATGTCTGATTTATTAAATAGACCCTCCCTAAATCAAAACAAGCCAAATCTACCCCCTCCTCTTCAAGTAATGGGCCCCATAAGCGGGTCGGCGACTGGCTTGGCCGCCTAGAGTAAACCAACCCTAGGGCTGGTTCAATCAACCCTCCTTGGGCCGGTCCCGCCAATCTATCAATATCCCCCTCCCAAAGACCCACATTGTCCGCAAGGTGGAAGACGACTCATTCCTCATTATCACAAACAATGAAAACCTAAAGAGTTCGATCCTTACATCTGCACTCACTGTATACCTCTCCTCACATCTGAAACAGAGTTCATTCACTCTCTTCTCCTATAACTATATTTATGTGAGCTTCTTCAAGTTGTCCTCGAGTCTTCTTCAGACAGTCTTCTCCTTCAGGGTCTCCCGAAGGGTACCGAGTGTCAGCTCCTTGGATGCCAAAAAGGTTATGGTCATCATGTACGTGCCTCCTAAGCTACTGCCTTCCATCCCACTCTCCAAGTGCCTCTGATCCTCCACCAACTAAGCTAGCTTCATAGCGTCTCCCAAGTCACGAGGCCTCATCACTCTAACCGCCGTCCAGATCTCTGATTTCAATCCCTTCATGAAATTCCCCTCTAGCATGCTCTCAGAAAGGTGGTCCAAACGGCTAGCAAGGTACTCATCACTGAATCACCTTGTGTCAAAGCGAAGAACTGCTCATAGAAGTCTCCTCCCCTACCGGTTTTTAAATAGTTCTAATAGACAATCCTTAAACTCCCTCCAACTCTATATGGGTCATCGTATGTCCCTCAAATAGTACCAAGTCACAGCCTTCCCTTCCAAACACAGGCTAGCTGTCGTTAGTCTTTCCTCCTCCGTCAACCCATTGACAACAAAATATCTCTCTACCTTGTAAATCCACCCGTGCATCATCATCCCCCTCAAAAATTGTCATCTTCAGTTTTCTCATCCTCATATCTCCTCTGTCACCCCTGCTTCCTCCAAAGTTTTTCACTCCCCAAGGGATGATTCCCCCCAATTGTGCCAATCATCACTTCTCCACTCGCACCAAAATCTTTCATCCCAAGTCTACATTCTCTCTTCAAATTCAACACCCATTCAACTACTCTCCTTTCAAAATTGATACCTCTTCGATCATAATCAACCACTTCTTTCAAATTTTGGTCGTTGGTTTCCTGTTGTTGGTCGTTCCCCTTCCTTCTTTGTTGTTTCCTATTTCTTTGTGCTTTATCTTCTCTAGGTGGCTTCTATTAGCTACTTAGGGTGGCTCATTTATATGGGGCATTTGGACTTTTTCTCCTATAAATATTGTTGATTTACTGTTGGAGAAGGGGCGGTGAACGGTGAAAAATGTTTGAACACAAAAACTTGCAAGTTATTTAGCTTGCGAGCTATTCATCTACCCTACTTCTATTTTGTCTCGGTCTTTCTGTCTTTTTCTTCTCTCCATGATTCCCATTCCACTTGTATCTTTCTTCTTCAAATATTGTGAGTGTAAGGTGTTGTTGTGTCCTTTTTATTTTAAATTGTAAGGCGGGGTGTCTTTTTTATTTGTATTCTAAGGTGTGTCTTTATTTATAATAGTATTGTTATGTTTATGGAAAGGAAGACTTGAGTTTACAATATTTGTGTTCTTGCATCAAAACCTGCCTAATATGCCCCCTCCTTTTCAAGTAATGGGCCCCACAAGGGGGTCGGCGGCTGGGCTGGCCGCCTAGAGTAAACCAGACCTAAGGCTGGTTCAGCTGGCCTTCCTTAGGCCGGTCTCGCCGATCTATCAAATGGAAACACTATTAAATTATTAAATAAATGATAAAATTAATAATATAAACAAAAATATTTATTTTTAAAATAACCCCCCCCCCCAATATATATTAAAAAGCACACACTATGTTGGTTTTACACCATGCACTATTGCTCATGTACGACGCAAATAACGAGTGCCATTTTGAACATCTGCGACATACCATACAAATGATGTCATGGTGTGCCGCATGGCATTGAAATATATGGCTCAGCCTTTGTTCTAATAATTCAAACCCTCTTATCCTTTTTACACTTTCTCCAATGCTCTAATGTTTATTTATTTTAATAGATATCTCATCGATTAGAACTATGTGAAAAGGCATAGACAAAAACACCACATTTTAAATAACCTTTATCAAAAAGGTCATAATTACTTAAAAAAGAAATATGAACTCAATGTCGATCCTTGATGAAATCCAATTGTAGATATATAAATATATAAAATCATCATATAGATATTATATAAATATATATAATGCACAATGCATATACATTTATTACTTACAATCAATACTTTATAGCAATAAGTAAATATTATATCTGTACACATTTATTTAACTACACTTAAATTTTTTTGAAGTTATATATAATAAAGGCGAGCAGGCATGTACAAAGTAACTATATTTTTTCTATGAATTTACATATTTTCATATATCTAGGAATTAAAAGGATAATAAAAAAAATTCTCTTACAAAAGATAAATAATCTTGTGTCAAATATGCAAGAAATAAGCCTAAAATTCTAAAATGTAAGAATGATGTGATAGTAATAGATTCTCTAAATAGGTGTAGGATAGTTTTATAATTGCTAAAATCCAAGGCAATTCAACTCTCCTTGAACATACAAGAATCCCGACAAAATATGAACCAAAAAAGCGCAATATGATTCAAACAGATAATCTAATACAAGAGTTCCTCACCTTTGTGCTTACCAAATTAAAGCAATTCAACTCTCCTTTGACATAAAAAGAATCCCGCAAAAACAAGAAACAATAAAGCACATAGAAACATTAAGACATGGTTTTGCATATATGTGCTTTGTGATGCTATATGATATAAAATCATCATACCCATACAGAAAAAAGTTGTTCCGGAAATTGGTTCAAATATTCATCAATTCATAGATATGATGCATGTGCAAGCATATTTCTCATACCAAAAATACTTTTTGAGAAGCTGGCAAGAGAAAAATAAAACAAATCAAATCCTACATGTTATGATAGAAGTATCTCTCATTTAGAATTAGATACCATTTGATTGCAGCTATAATTCATTGCATTCACAGCCTTGTAAAAACTGGGTGCAATGAGGTTAGGAAACATACCGTCCAGAGCCACCATCATCATTGTTTGAATTGTTTACAGTCGGCTCCTTTTCATCAGCAGAAGCTTTATTAGTTTCAGATGCATTCCATCCACCATTAGACTCATATCGACCTCCACCTCGTCCACCATCACGTCCACCCCTCCGGCCACTTCCACCATATCCTCTTCCACGGCCCTCACCACCTCTGAATCCACGGTTCTCCCCATCACCACCATAACTCCTGTCGTATCCCTCACCGTCCCTAAACTCTCGCTTCCTCTCGTAGCCCTCACCATCCCTAAACTCCCGTCTCTCCAGATCAGATCCCTGTCCCCTCAACCCACGGTTCTCGCGATCAGCACCATATCCCCTAAACCCACGGTTCTCCCTCTCCTCGCCATCTGGTCCCTGATTCTCCTCCCCAAACTTTCTACTATCATACCTGGACGGCCGACTCTCGCCATAGCCCTTTTCCTGGAACTCACCTCCTTCTTCTCTACCATCTTCCGGATTCCCATAGTCCACCTGGTTCCTGTTACCAATCCCAGTAAAGCCTCTTCCCCTTCCACGGCCCATTCCACCTCTACCACCCCGCCCACGACTCCGCTCACCACCAGATTCACCACTATAACCTCTATCATACAAATGCTCTGGCTGTTCAATGGCATCGCCACCACCAACATTACCAAATCCACCCCTTCCTAGACCCCGGCCACGACCACCCCTCCCCCGGCCTCTCTCTCCCCTCACTGTGAAAGAAGAAACCAAAAAGAGATCGTCAGCATACACACACAATGGAAACAAAATCGCAAGCAACGTATTTCTGACGACAAACAAACAAAAAAAAAAAAACTCACCAAACTCTCCGGGAGCGGAAAGCTTAGATGAAAGACCATTGGGTCCAGTCTTCTGCTTTGTCTGCTCTGTCGCCGGGGGCGTTAGAGCCGGCATCTTGGCCTCGACCTTAGCGAGGAGAACTGAAACGTCGGCTCCGTCGTCATCATCACCAAGAAGAGCAAACGGGTTGTCCTGGCGAGCCATGTGGACTGCTAGGGCTTAAAGAAACCTCCTAGGGTTTCCAGATTAATGCAACTTTGGCCAAACCCTAGACTGGTCTCACGCAATAACACTAAGAAAAATACCACTCCATACTATCCTTTCTGGGCTCCTTCTAGCCACCGCCGCCGCCTCCTCCCTTCCCGGTCTCCCTCACGCCAATTAGGGTTCCAGGTAGCAGGACGATAGATAGGAAAGGCATGAATTTGTAAAAATCGCGAAGGCGATGCGGTGCGGTACATGTGTCGCACGTGTGACTGATTTCTTTCCGAACATATCGTGCGGCCCGCCGGCCTAACCTCACACGTGTGGAGATTTGGTTCCTTAATTACTGAGATATATCTGATTTTTTCTTCTAAAATTAACTTATCGCCAAGAATTTAACTTAGGCATGTTTGAGATATGACTTTTTTACTGATTTTTAAAACAATTTTGTGGTTAAAAAAATTGCTTTAAGAAATCTTATATATATAACTAGAAAAAAATATTTTTGATGATAAATTTAAGTTTTTAATTCTTAACATAAATAATATTTTTGGAATTCTAAGAAAATAACTTGCTAAATAGTTTCGCTTATTTTAAATTATATAAAATCAGAAATATTTAATGGTTTCAAATATTTTATTGAAATTAAAATCAAAATGAGTTAAATAGATAATGTCATGTTAATTGTGAGATTGCGTAAATGTCGAGCCACTTCTATTTGTTGCAATATATTAGGATGATGCGTAATATATTTTGTTATTTTTGACGTGTAACTTTTGATATGGATTGAGAGGCAATATGGTACATATATTAGTCTCACGAGTGGCTAATGTGATTTAGCTAAATCAGCTCTTAATTAAGGCTTTCTGATGTGGTGCATGATCGATAAATTAGTGAGGATATCTCAAATGATGATTTTTTTCTCTTTATGTCATAGTTCACTTCTTGAATTATTCAACTGCCAATGGCATGAATCAAATTTATGAATGTCGCCGATTTAGATGTTCACATTTTTTTGGTGCTCTTATTAAGAGTAGTCAAGATGAAGAAAAATGATTATGAAACATTAAGATGCACATGAGTCTCCCTCTCCTTGTAAGACTTAGTTCTACATGCTTGAAGCTAATCAAACCCAAAAAATATATATGCATAACCCTGGGATAGTCCCAGAAATAAAATAGTAAAATATTAATAGAACAAGATCGCGCACTTCTTTAATTTGTTGTTCATATTCAAAAGATTTCATGTATGGGAATGAAAACTTTGAAGAATACAAGTTATTGGCTAATCAAAGATGCAACCGTAATGAACTTTAATAAAGTAGAGTTCAACAGGCTTCAAGAAGGACATGATCCATACGGCCATTCAAGTAATATAAATAATTCTTAAAATATTTGAGTCACTTTATGTCAATCTAATTGCATGATATTGCACAACAATCTTAAATAACAATATTGTTATTTTGTTACTCTTTAGCTTTATTAACTTTGATTGTATTACATTATAGTTTAATACATTTGCATCTAATTTATTGAGATGATGAACCTCATAAGGGAAATTTAAAAGTAATATTGCATAAATCCCCTTTCAACATAAAATAAAATAGGAAGGTGAGATAGCCAACAAAGTTAAATAATTATAAAGATTGAGTGAATACTTAGGTGACTAACATAGTAGAAGGTCACAAAATATTGCTTTTACCTCACAACAAACGATCATAACCTACTAACTTAAATAGCTCAAATAGGTAAATAGAATGACCTCAAAGCTACAAACATCTCAAGCAAAGATACATTGGCTTAGCAAAGCTAAATATGCATAAGTCTTAAGATAATACTTGGGTGAGTAAGCATAGCATATTCAATTGCTTTATGGTGTAGGTTTAGTGTAGGATCAATAGATGGTGATAATAGGAGCTTTATTGCTAACCCCTTTAGGTGGTGGTAAAATAAATTTATTTAAGGTAAAAGGTTTAGTAAAACTCCAAAATTAAAGGTTGGGATGTTAGAAAATTATTGAGATATTTTTAAGATACTTGAATGATTGGTTAGAGAGTTATAAATTTTTTGAGTTGACTAATCACAATGATGAGACAACTAGAGGAACCGATACTAGCTTGTATGAAAGGAAAAGTTGAGTTGAAGACAAATAGAGAGGTTTGCCTAATTCAAGATGCTTCTCATGTTAGTCTGACTTAGCCACATCAAATCTAGATCACTTACTCTTAACTAGCTTAGTGCCCTTTGATCTTATAATTCACTCAAGAGATGATCCAAGACATTCTTCTTCTTTTGAATTCAATTTTAATTTTTAATTCATATATAGGTTGAATCTTCTTAGCTTAGCTTGAAACCTTACCTAGCAAATAAATTGAGTTTATTAGAATAAAACTCTAGAATGACTATAAGACTCATATAAGCTTAGCAAAAATTATAGACTACGGACGCACTAGATCTTTAAATCTTAATCTTAAAAAAGGTCCACAAATGACCTTAGGTTGGTCTTAACTCTAATTGGGCCCAATGGGCTCAATCAATAGTCCATTCATTAAACCTCTTCCCTAGTGGTTCAATCACATTCATGCTAATTATAATTAGACATTAGACCTCTTTATTTTGTGTCTTGGTCCTTGAACAATAGTTTAGCCCAATTAAACTGAAATAGGTGAATTAGACCCAAATATTAAAATTAATAAGATTGACATTTGATAGTCACTTCAATTGGTTCTAATATGATATATGTAACATAATTGGGCTTAATAAACCTTTTGTGTAACCTAATTGGACTATTCACCCATTTAAGCCCAAATAGATCTATTTGACCCTTTGAGATTTAAATGTTCAAATCAGTCAAATTAATTAAACTTAAACCATTGAATTAATTTCAATAGGTCAACCATGGATAATTCAACTCAAATTAACCTTTAATTTGGCCAATTGGTTCACTTTGACCCAATTTGGCCCACTTGAACATCTTAGACCATTTTGATTAATTTAACAAAATTGAGCCAAGTTAACCCTTATAATTTATTTGAAATGAGTAATCATAGTTTACATGAACTAATTGCCTTAATTGTTTCCAATTTGGCCATTGGGTCTAATATGCCCACTTTGACTAAATTGACTCTTTTATGTAAAGTTGATCATACACATCAAGCCAACTTTAACCAAGCTTTCGATTTTACCTAAATGAATTCATCAAACATAAAATAGATGTAATCACCCCTTAGCTGAGTCTATTGAACCAACTTACCCTAACTTAGTAGAATTGGAACCTTTAGGCATCCACTTAGCCATTTTGAGTCCAAAGCCTCCAAATGGCCAAATCGATTAAACCAAAATTTTAAATGAGTTCATCTCATCATAATTGAGTTAATTTGACCATTAGTTTGACCGAACTGAGCAAATTGGTCCACCGGATCTATGGTGAACCTATACTTGACCTTATTAATTCAATTGAACTAATTTGACCAAATTGGCTTAATTGACTTAAACCAATTCCTCTAATTGATGGCAATAGGTTAAAAATATTCCATTTTGATCTAATTGACCAATTGGTTTCACCATAGATCACTAAATTGGCTAACCCATTTGATAAATTTTGCTACTTAAGGTTCTAAACTAGGTATAGCTCCAAGTTAAGTACTTACAAGCCATTCATAGTGAGTTTGAAGGTTACTCAAATTAAGCAAGTCCTAGGTGCCTAATTTCAAACTTCAAACTATCCTCTTATGCTAAGATTGTCTCTTAATTCATCTCAACTATCCACCTAGTTAAGCTTAAGCCAATCACTAGCTAACTTATACAATTAACTCAAGTTTGAGGCTCCATCAGTGGGTGATAAGAAAATGACTAGAGAAGACATGTTATTCCATCTAGATACCTTCTAAAAGCTCTACCTAGCTTCTTATATTCTTTAGCATTAGCTCCAACTACTAGGGTATCTTAAATTCAATTTGAACTTGAGTCTTCCCAATAATTTAGGCCATTTCAAGCCAATCACATATATGTTTATACTTCAAATCACCTCATATAAGTGAGGGACCAATTTCATCCTAATCTCCAAATTGGGTAGGTGAGAATTTGAAACCCTAGGTTAACTATATGTTATTTGATATGGGGACATGCTTTGTCAAAATTTTACCACATACGGGTATGACTCAATCTCCTTAAATTATGACAGTTGAAATCACTATTTCATTATATGTAGAGGGAGAAATCATCACCCGAGTCATTTGAGTTAGTGCTAACCCGAGAACATCTTCTTAGGTTTTAGTTCAACATAGGGAAGAAGACAATCTGTGTTGCCAGTTATTAGTCTAAATATTTTGTATTAAACTTAGTATGTCGTTGCATCTATTATTGGTGCCTTATATAATTCTTGTCTATATATAGTTTAGATATCCTTTGTACGAAGATTAAAATTCTGAATAAGATATTCTCATTCTATCTTCTCATGTACGAGCAAGATCAAATGCATGTAGAGTTGAAATTTCATTTTAAATATGATCCTAGCTAATTATTAGGGAATTATTTTAGGTTGTTTCTTAGAGCAAACAACTAAGCCAAATTATATGAAATTTCAACTCAACATGCATTTGAACTTGCTTTATCTACCAAAATTAGTTTCAAACAATTTTAATATATACTTGAGTTTTAAAAAATAATTCACTCTCTATTTTAATTGGATGAATAACTTAAAATATTCTGAAAATTCCAAACTTCATGAACATGTTATTAGTGTTAATTCAAGCCTATTATAACTTTGGTTTTATTTAATTTGCTATATTTTCTAAAATTTGAATTTCCATAGGAGAGAAGAAAGGGTTTTCGATTTAACATACTTTTTATGTGCATTTGATTATGGCTTTATTATTGATCGTCATGTGAATTTGCATGCGCTTTTTCTTCGAATAATTGAGAATATTTTGTAACAATTAAAATATCATTTACTTAAATATTAAATATAGAATAATATATTTGAAATGTAGCTTAAATAGAATAGACATATTTGATTTTGTGTAAAAGAAATGAAATGTGTTATGTTTTACCTTTAATTTGAAGTCAAATGAATTCAATGTAAAGCTTAATTATAATGACAGACAGTGGTGCTGGCAGTAAGGGCTATAGTGATAGACAATGGTAGCCATTAGCGGCAACGAGTAGCAGACCATGGACACAAAAGTGGCTTGCGGCATTAAGTGGGAAAAT